TAGGCACACATGTATAAATAAATGTTAGTAAAGTTCAAATGGCTAATATGTATAAATATCATAATACTATATTGCGCACATCTATGGTTAAATATAAAAATATGATAATTTTGCTAGCAAATAATTAAGAAATAATTAGAAGGTTTATCTGGTCATAAATTGCTATATATTTAAATTTCTATAAATTAGATTCTCAGAATTCGAAATAAAGATTTATTAAAAGCTTTCATAATACATTTTTGAAAAATAATAAAATCTTATTTTTGGACATCTCACATTTTTAATGTTAGGAATGTTATTTGCTTTGACAATTTTGGGTCGGTTTCGGGTTTGTTCTAGTTGATTTCGGGTTCATTTTTAGAACCGATCCGACTTTTCGGGTTCAGATCGGTTCTTTTCTAAAAACCGAGCCGATCCGACCCGTGAGGAACACTAGAATTTAGGGTTAGATCTGCCCGGAATTATGCTTAATGCCGGCCGGGTTTTAGTGATGTGACAATTAAGCAAAACAGTATGGTACGGTTTGATAAAATTCGGCCTGTACCATACTGATCTAGTCAGTCTTACCATACTGATCTTCTGTAATCCTTAGCGTTAGTGAGACTGGTACGGTTTTAAAAAACCATACCATACTAATTCGGTATAATAATAATTTTTTTAAATACAAGATCAGTATAGTATGATTTTTTAAATTATAAACCGTACTATACTTACTGGTTATCAGTTATTATATATAATAACTAATAAGTATGGTTAGGGTGTGGAATGGGCCGGGTTGGGCCGGGCTTTCATAGACCCGAAACATACCCGGAAAAAAATTTTTGAAAACCCAAACCCGATAAAAAGCCCGAATATAAGACCGGGTCGGGCTTTCTTTTTAAATTAAGCCCGGGCCCGACCCGGGCCAAGATTACAGCTGATTTTATAAATTCTAAAAATCTGGCAAAAAATTGATGACCGAATATTTGTCGATTCGATATGTTTTGAGAAACTTTTGATTTGGATGTGATTACTGTCAAATCAAAACCTATAAATCGGCAAATATCAGTTGGTTAGTTTTTGCCAGATTTTTTAGAATTTATAAAAAAAGTTGTAAATGCACTGAGCAAAATTACTAAATTAAAAAGGACGATCACAATAATAATTTAATTTTTCTAAAAACTTCGTCTGGGAGGTTAAAAAATATTTTGAAACAATTTGTTTGTTGCAACTAAATTGAATAAATTCATCTTAAAAATATAACTGTATTGATTTTGTTTGCTATTTTAATTGGTTACTTTTTGTATTACCAGGTTTAGCGGGTATCATCGGGTATATTTATAAAGCCCAAACCCGGCCTGGTAGTTTGCAGGCCCAAACCCATACCCGGTCCATATTATAAAATTTAAGCCCCAAACTCGGAATTTCCGGGCTCAGCTCGGCCCATTCCACACCCTACGCGAGAGTAAGGCTTACCATATACTAAAGTTTTGCAGAATTTTGAGTTACCGGAAAGGCCTTTGTTTTCATGTTACACCAACGGTTACCTGATCTTGCGATCTACATAAGAATTTTTCCTTGTTTGCTTAAAGCGGTGCGAGGTTTAGGGTTACCTTTTGATGCAATTATAGGTAGGGGTTAGATAGATATCAAGAATGCAACTTATGCAGTATGTAGATCATATATTGAATTCATTATTTGGTTTGTATCATGGGCGCCAATAAGAACACACTGTATCTAGAATCTACATGTAGTATCTATATGCAGTATCTACATGCAGTATATAAAAAAGGAGGGAATAGATCCTTCCTTTTATATAATTACAAGGAAGTTGTTTTGACGATCATACGTTCAAAATCAAATAGATACAACCAAAAATATCAATGTACTACAAACTCTAAAAGCCATAAAAGGCAAAAACAAACCAACAAAATTGAGTAGTTGTTATTAATAAAAAAGTGGATATCTTATACTGTTCCCCACTGTCTTTATAAAAGGTTTTTTGCCTTGAATGATCACGGGATCGACATTCGATTAAAGTTACATGTTCGATTAAAATAGTGCAGTTAGAAATTTACGATTATTCGATAATGAAAATTTATTTACAGATGATTACAGGAAAATTTTGACTGCGATCTCTAATATATAGAAAATGTACATATATGCAACCTAATTCATACCGATACTTGGTAACAAGTTGATACCATTAAGTTCACGCATGTACTATTTTATACTGTATATAAATAAGGCATTTTTTGACACAAGTTATATAGGAAGCGCCATACAGATCTTTAGCAAATCAGAATGAACTTTTATTATACTTTCACATTATAAAATCTAATAATACCTAGATCATAACATCCTATATACTAAAAAATCTAATAACACCTAGATTATAACATTCTACTAAAAAATCTAATAACGCCCAAACCAAAATGGGCACTCTCTATGACAATCTCGCGTTTTGCTTACAATTTTGTTGAATTTAGGAGTTTCCAGAGTGTTGCGTTTATAAATTGCTTTTTCCGACGGTATGCTTGGATTGCAAAGCTTACTATATAATGTATCAACAGATTTTATAAAAATCTCCTTTATATTCAAGAGAGTTCCGATTTCATCAACAAAAGGTAAAATTTCCTTAATTGACGTGGGAATCGAAACTTGAGCAATGTGAATCATAAAATAAGTTCCCTTGACAAGGTCAATCATATAAAAATCAATTTTGAAATCTATAAATGAAAATGTCAAAAAGGCGATTAGAAAAAATTTTGTAAATAAAAAAATAATTAAATTAACATTCTTACCAATACACTGAAATCCAATAATTTTAACATCGGCACCTTTGTCGATTGCGGAATCCATGCAGTCTTTCATAAAAATGCCAAGTCGAATTAGATCACTGCAATTTTTGTATACATTGTTTTTTTGCGATGGGGGGCTAACCTCACCTACAAAGATAGTAGCGGCTATTTGAAGTTGATGGATTATAGAGATCACGAAATCTGGTTGCTTAGCTCGTCCCTTGTATTTTCTTAACTTACTCTCATTCAGAGCCGTGTTCGGCCATTGGACAATATGCTTATTCGGATTATGGAATATACCTCTTATGATATAATCCAAATAATTAGTGACAAGAGTTGTTTCACTAGGATCATTTTTAATTTTATCATTAGGTAACGTTTCTAAACCTCTTAAAATCACAGAGCCAAGGTTTTTTTTTAATTTTTGATCATTTAAAAGTTCTTTAAGAAGCCAATCTTGGGCATGTTCACGAGACTTATCACATTTTTTTATAGCCTCTCTAAGTTTTAATTCGCACTCAAAATCCAGCGCCATATTCTGAGTTAGTAAAATGCTTTGATATATTTCGTCAAGAAAACCAGATCCAAATATATTTATCATTTTTTTTGAATAAGAATTTCGTGACAATAAAAATATCGACGACAATGAAAGAATCTCATGGACATTAGATTCAATAAATAAACCACCATTTTGAGATATTCTTACTGACTCGTTTTGATACTTTTTAAACATTTGAGATATATTAATCCCATTTACTTTATAATCATTAATTGGATCACCATCTTGAAAATAGAGATTCTCTACATCATCAATTATTACCCGATCATTGTCATAATAATTGTTTGTAAAAATATTATTACCCATTCGCGCATGTGTTTCTGGTGATTCTATTAATACAGAACACGTTGGTGTTGACACATATCTACTAAGCAAGCCCGCTTGTGGTGGGGGTGTGGTATAAGAATCCAGATAATAGGTTCTTTCCTCTTCCCTGCTTACAGACTTTCCCTGCTTACAGACTTTCCCTTCATTCCCTTATTATCCTCGTTACTTTCTATATGATCACCTTGACTTTCTTCTCGTAATGGTGTAGTGCGATCACCTTGATTTTCTTCTCGTAATGGCATAGTGCGATCATCTTGACGTTCTTCTCGTGGTGGTGCAATGAGATCACCTTGACTTTCTTCACATGGTGGTGTAGTTCGATCATTTGAATAATACGTTCTTTCCTCTTCCCTGCTTGAGGATTTTTTTTTTTATTATGTCATCACATTGATCTTCTAACCCACGTTTTAGCGATTGTGTTTGTATTTGGCATTTTGTTGCCTTTGTAATACTGAATCTAAGTTAGTTTTTAATAAAATATCTAATACTTAATAAATGCAATTAACACACCTCTAAATCTTGAATTTCGTCCTGGATGTCATTATAAGATTCTTTATCGAATGATTTCCAAAAATTATTTACTTCCTCAGAGGATTTTTCGTTCTATTTATAATATACCGGCAAAAAATAATATTAGTATAAGTGTTAAATATAACATTTAAATAATTTAAGCTGAACACAACAATTGACGTAAGCTAACAACCAACGGGACGAAGGCGTACTGGTTGAAAGCTAGCAACCAACGGGACGAAGGCGTACTGGTTGAGTGTCAGTGTTGTTTAATTAAGACTAAGGTTGCTAAAGAAAACTATACACTTGATGAAGGCTAATCAACGGGACGAGGGTGTACTGGTTGCACGCTATTTGTATCAGTTAAAGATTAAGGAGACCATAACACGTGACTAAGGCTAACTACCAACAGGACAAAGGGTACTGGTGTATGACAGAGCACGATACAACCAACGGGACGAAGGCGTACTGGTTGCGTTGTGGAGACAAAGTCTACTTAAGGGTCCTGAAAAAAACAGCTCCTCAAGTGTCTTGAAACTGGACCTTAACTCTCCTTATCTTAAATATACCCTTTGAACACAAAAAAGCTTAAATAAAATGTTATACCTAACAGCAAGATAGAAGTTTGTTTTGATTGGATGATCATCAAAAACTCTGATTGGCCAAAATTAAAGGGTTAGCTTTCGT